AATTTTTTGTTAATAATTTTAAGCAAAAGCGTCTTGTCAACCGACTGCGGCGTAGTATAATGGAGGGTTATGTGTCAGTGTGTATGTAGGTGTGAGTTATGACCGATCCTATCTTCTCTCGTATTTACTAAACGGCTTCACCGATTTTTATGAATTAAATACGTCGTAGATCGTCGGCTAGTTTTCGTAGCTAATAATTTTCAGAGTGACTATTCGCCCGATCTCTAAGGGTCTACGGGAAGGTTTTCCATAACTGACCCGTTGAGCGATTGATTTTAGTTTAAGCTCAGATCCACGGGAAAATTTCCCTTACTACTCAGAATTTTTACATTTACCTATAAATAAGTTTTCAAAAACAAATTATGTTATTAAAATAATAAATTTATTATATGTAGGTACTTTGTTTTTTAGCTTGTGTCAATTTTTATTGTGTCAATGTTGTTAGTAATTTACTGTTTTGAATTAATTCTTTGTTATGTTTGCCTTCATATTTTTTTTATTAATAACTAATATGTTTGGGTCTGATTTTTGGATATCGATAACCTTTTTTAAAATGACTCAACTTTTAACCGACTTCCAAAAAGGAGGAGGTTCTCAATTCGTTGGATTTTTTTAACGCGAGTATATGTTCACCGCTTACTCGAAGACGCCTGAACCGATTTGGATTTTTTTGTTTCGAAGGATATACTTCCCAGGTGGTCCCATTAAAATTTTATAAAATTCGGACAAGCAGTTTTTTTTAAAATTAAAAATTAATTATTTTTTTAAATTAATTGACATTTTCAAAGTCGGTGCCAGCCGGCAATGTTTTAAGATATGAATATCTAATAGGTACATATGTATTTTGCCTATCGAAATATGGGTATTAGATTTGCTTTGCATCGGCTAGCACCGACTTGGAAAATATCTGATTAGGTATCTGTTCTAAATGAAAACCCCTGTTTAGTTATTTTGTACATTTTAGTGCCTCGAAGTCGGTTTTTATTTATTTTTTAAAGTTTTTAATTTATTATATTTTACACGGAATAAATCACTAGCTGCTACAGTTTTTTTTTTATCAGCTGGCGATTAATGATGTGTGTTTCAAAAGTTATTATGTAGTAAATCGATAAAAAATCAAATAATAGGAATGGAAACCCTGTCTGGTTTTTCAAGTTATACTTCTTTTGGCGCGTTATGAAAAATGAATGATGAGAGTGATTTTTTACGCTGAGACAGATTAAGACTACAGTATGAAGTTAGTCATTATTGACTACAGTGTGAAGTTAGTCCCTGTGTCTGTCTGTAATTAAATCTTGCAAGTTAAATTTGAACCACTTCCCAGTGCCCGATCAAGCTAAAATTTGGCCTAATTAATCCAATATGGCGGGCATTACAAAATAGCGATTTATCATTTCCATAGTGACCCTTATGGTATAGGCATCAAATGAAAGAGCTTGATGAGTGAAACACAATAAGAAATATGACGGATGAATAAATCCAATATGGCGGACACTTTTTTTATGCACCCCGATGATATGGATATCAAACGAAAGGGTTTGCTGAGAAGAATACAAAAAAAAAAGAAAAAACCATAAAAAAGAAGTAGGTATAGCTTGTTACGCGCGTATGAGTACGCATACACTTTTTTTATATTTTTATTGTTAGTTGTTTACTTTTGACTATCACATGAACGACTCCGGTGTATAATTTTGGTAACTAATGCTATAATATATGCAGGCGCGGATCTAGAGTTTAATTTTTCGGTCAGAGGCTGAAATTTACATATAATAAAAGAGTACTTACTTGATTAGCAAATTCTGTACATACAATATTTTTAAAACAATGACGGTTAATGACTTGAAATTATTGACAAAGGTTATTATTTTATATATACTAATAACGGTTCATAGCTCAAACAAAATTATTAAACTTAAAAATTTATGTAAATAATACATTTTATTATTAGGCAGGATGGGCTGCACCTATGGAGGTACCTATAGCTTAAATGTCTCCAATTAAAACTATACCGAAACGATTGATATGTAAAAAATGTAAAGGCTGAAAAGTCAACTGAATTATTAAACCATATGTGTTTTATAGTATGTAAATATTATAAAGAAAAAAAAATGTATAATATTTACATTAAGTTTTTTTTTATTCTAACAATACGATTTATTTTCATTTGTAATTGTTATTAATATTAATATAAACAATAATAATAAATAGTAAGTGCCTATTCATAATTTTCAATAATCTAAAAATCATAAAAAGAAATATTTTTGAATCAGTAACCTGTTATCCATGTTCCGTACGCGTATGACATATTTGTCACCAGTCCCTGTGGCCGAGAAACACCACATATTTTTTTTAGAACTTATTTATAAGTAAGTGCAAAAATTCTGAGAAGTAAGTACGGAAAGGTTTCTCTTGGTTTTTTTTTTCAATTTTTCCTTCCCTTGTATAAACCATTGCCAAATTTTATGATCCCAGGTGAACGGGGACATTGACACACAGCACCACCTAGTTCCATGATAAGCTACGAGGCTTGTGTTATGGATGCCAGATAGTTGATACACTATACATATATAACTTTAAATACATACATATTATAAATATATACACCCATGACTGGGTACAAACATTCGTGCTCATCACACAAATGAATGCCCCCAGCGGGACTCGAACCCGCGACCGCTGGCACAGCAAGTAGGGTCACTACAAACTGAGCCACACGCGTCGTCAAAGTTTGATTTTTCACAGCACCTAAGGATTGCACATCTGGGTATGTGATAACATATACTATTGCGGACTTTTCCCATGCACAGACACATCCCCTCCACTGTTACCCAGCGTTCTTTTTATTTGACTTTTTAATAACTATTGTTTTGAGGTCTACCGTCTATATTGTGTACATAATACGTTGCTGACATTATTTTAAAAAAAAAATATGTATAGATTGCCAAGTTACTGCTTTATTATAGTATAAATTAAATTATATCTAATTGTTGCGTCGCGTGGTCAGAATATATGAATTCTCTAAAATGGCATTCTATCTCAACCATTTCACTCTTAGAATATTGGAACTATTTATATTACTGAAATTTAGGAGTCAGAAGATTTCAATTTAAATTCTTACTTAAACTAATCTATTTATTGAGTTTTGACAGAAAGGCGACTCCAGATTAGGCCGGAAAAAGATTTCATACTTAGTACGAATTGAACGAACGACTTTTGAGGTTTATTTTAGGTTTTGTTTAGGCTGCGACCTAAACTGAACGTCTTATGAAGCTCATTATACGAAACGATTCATTTTATGTCGTAAATTAAGTTACAATAAGAGTTGATGGTCGGACTTCAGGTGCCGTGTTTGTACCTACTATGCTGTATTCAGATGACAAAAAATAAGTTCACATTAATATGTAAGGTATTTCTGGATAGATGTAAAAATTAATATAGATGTTTCTTAATGACTATTTCGTTCAAGTAATAGTAGCCGAGGTGTACCTATGCTTCTAACTAACTTCTAACTATTGTGTGTTTGAAATGTGATATACATTTATTAATAAATTTAAACCTTTAAAAAGTAAATATTCCAGAACAAGGGGTGGATTTTCTTACTGATATTTATGTGGAGCAATGGGACTACCTATAACTTCGATCAACGTAGTATTGTTGATCGAAGATCTATGCTTGAAAAAAATAATTGTACTTATCGGTTCATAAATGACACAACGTACTTCTATACTAATATTATAAAGAGGTAAAGTTTGCGAGTTTGTGAATAGTGAGTTTGTGACGTTGTAGGGGGTAATCTCTGGATCTACTGAACAGATTTAAATGAAATTTGGTAAAAACATAGTTTGTGATCCTGGCAAGGACACAGGATACTTTTTATCCCGGATATCATCCCTTAAGGAGGTGAGAATAGAGATGAAAGTTTGTATGGGGAAGCAAGCTACACACAATATATATACACAATAAATCTTTCTCATACAACATTATTTCGTTTTCTTTTAACAATTACAATTGTAGAATGTTATTTTGTTTAAGCCCGACACGTGACGTGCTATGAATAAAAAGACTTTAAAATCTCTTGATATCGGTTAAAATAACTTCGCAAATAATGTATTGTTTTGATAAAAAATTAAAAGATAAAAGAAATGTTTACTGTGAGTTATCTTTATGATATAAATACATATATGCTATAGCGGACTTTTTCAAGAACTTTTTAGGACGAATTCAGGCATACATTGACAAGGCTCTTTCGTCATAACGTAAGCTAGTTTTCATAATACATACCTACATAATACTTATGTCCATTTGTTACAATAATGTAGTTTTGAAGTGGCAAAAGAATTTTTAAATAGGTTCAGTGGCTCCGCACATTAGGTACTCTCTACATATATACAAACTCAGTAAATTAGCACTTTTCCTTTATGTTTCAGTACAAGTTTTAAGAAGCGGGTTATCTTGACAATTCTTTTTAAAATTTCTACAATTGATTTACATACACAGTTTCCACTTACCTATATGAATTTAGGCATTTTAACAGAAGTGGCGGAGGGTACTGGTATCTAACACGACTCAACTTCGGCGAAAAACGGAAAACGGAGCGTAAAAAGTAAGCGAAAACTACTAAGCTGTATGTAGATTATGATGGTCATCTTCAGCTGTTACTTCAAATGTCTTTAAGCAAGCTAAATAACTATGCTAAGAATTAGCAGTAAGTTGATATGGATTGTATTGTTTGCGTAGAGCGAGAGTAACATTGGCTTTTGAAATCAAATTGGATTTTCGTATTGATATTTAAAAAAAAATCATAATCATTCACCCCTTTTTGATCATTATTTTAAAGAGAGATTTGATATGATCAAATTAAACGTAATCGATCGCTGAAAAGCGCGCTGTTGTGGATGGAGTCCACAATTTTGAGAAATCGAATCTATTATCTATCTTAATTTTATTTAAAAGTAGTGCGAAACAAGAATATGATTATATGAATTATAACGACTTCATACCTTGCTACGACGAATAGGCATTTTATCTCAATCACAAATATATCAGGATCACTAAGAATTTCACAATTATTAAATACTTATGTAGGTAACACAAATAGAGTTTTGTCAAAATATCCTAGACGTAACTTTTTACACCACTTAGATTAGTGTTCATTAATGAATGGTTCGCAGTTAACTGACTTCAGTTGATCCACGGCACTAATATTTAAAGAGCAATAGATAAGATTGTGGGCTGACCTTTGACGTAGTCATTCACAGTCAACACAAATTATAACGCATCACTTGACTAAGGGAAACACATCAAAATAAAGATTACGTACACATTATTTGTTCAAGGGGACAATGTGCGCACAATTGGTTAGCGAACCGCACCAAGCTCGACTGCGTAGGTCTCGAAGGTGCTGTCGTGGGGTCGAGTAAAACGTCTGTGTTAGGGTGTACGCACATATAATAACTATTGCATTTTGCAGATATTGGTAGTGACCAGACCCCATACCTGCAAATTGCACTTAACTGGATTATACCTAATATACAAACAAAAAAATGTTTAGTACAAACACGAGTGAAATTAAATCACTGCAAATACTTTAATCACTGTGCGCTAAATCTTTCAGGTTTATGCTACAGAGTACAGTTAACCAAATTATTAAAAAATGGCTTTGTATAATTGCAATCGCAAATTTTGCGATCAGTTATGAACGTACGTGTTCAATGTGCGTAAAGTCTTAGGTCAATGAATATCCACATTTATACACATTTTAATGAATATGCTAATATGACTATACAAATGATTTACATTTACTCAATACGTCATTTTGGGTATAATCTTTTTTAATATACATACCTATGAATTCATTCCAAAAGTGCATATAGCCCACATGCATTCCAGAGTTTCATGCAAAAAGGTATGGCAGCATACACCGAGACAAGTTATTATTGGTAAATACTAACATCCCCAAGCAGGAATCGTACTTTATTTTTAGCTATAATAACTACATCACTACGACAGAAAATCGTCAACTATTTGATGGGAATTATTTGTCACAGAATTTTCTTTTTATACAAGGGTGAATCAAAAAGTTCTTGGAATCAATATCAAAAAATGCCAAAAATGAAACAAAAATATATTATTTTTCTACATAATTTCCCTCTAATACAATACATTTAGAATAACGCGTTTCTAACTTTGTTATCCCTTGCGAAAAAATCTTTTTCTCGATTTCCGAGAAGCTCTTCTACAAGAGCCATAACAACCTCGTCATCGTGAAATTTAATTCTACGAATATACTCTTTTAGTTTTGGGATCACTAGGGGCTAGTTTCGGAGAATGTGGCGGGTGCTCAAGGAGATTGAAACCAGCACAGCGAATTGCATTGAGCGCAACTTCCGATCGATGAGCGGAAGCGTTATTGTGAAGAAAGAACACGACTAACGAAAGTTTTCAACGACGTTTTTCTTTAATTACTTCATGCGCTTTCGGCATTAAATTTGCATAATAGGGTCCAGTAATCGTCTGGCCTTTTGGCATGTAATCAATAAAAAGGATACCTTCGCTATTTCAGAACACTGAGGCCATAACTTTGCCAGCGATAGGAGCAACTCGAAATTTCTTCATGGATAGAGAGGATGGTCGTTTCCAAAACATGCTTTGTCTCTTAGTTTCAGAATCAAAATGGTGGGCTCACGTCTCATCCGTGGTGATAAGACGATAACAAAAAATATCCGATTCACGCTGGAACATTTGGATATTACGCCTACAAATTTCCAAATGTCGCTTTCTGTTTTCGTAAGTTGGCGTTGGTGTCACCCATCTTGCCAACACTTTTCTGAACCCCATGATATGTTCAGGATCTCAGCTAAATGTTTTATGGTTATTCTTCTTTAACGTTTATTCGTTTAACTTTTATGGCGGTACTTGTAAAAAATATTAATAATGTAGAATATCAATGTTTAAAGTATAACAGACCTTGTAATGTCATTTAATTATTGTGTGGCTTTTTGTTAAAAATATGAGTGATAATGTTTAATGATAATTTAGTGACAATCCTTTTGTATCATAGAGGAAGGAACTGTCGTCTGTAATACAGGCTCGGCCTAGTACAGTCGGCAGTGACAAACCGATGTAAGTAGCATAATTTGTAATAAGCTTTATTTTGCGCTTAGTGTAAATTTAATGTCAAAACTTATTGCTAATAAACTTTTATTATTATTATTATTATTATTATTCTGTCTTTCAAAACCAGATTCTCAACCTTTTTGATGCTTTCTTCCGTAACGGAGGTTGAAGGGCGGCCAGAACTCGGGTCATCTTTACAGCCTAATTTACCTCTTTTAAATTCAGTCACCCAATACGCAAACGTAAAATAGGGTACAGCATTATCCCCTAATGTCTTCGGAATGTCCGAACAAAAATCCTTCGAGGACCTTTTTTTAGGCACAGATACTTTATCACCGCCCGTAACTCACTTTTCTCGCTAATTTTGCGTTTTCAGCAACTCGTTGTACATAAGAATGAATTGCGTGTTAATGAACTGATAAAAACAAATGATACTCGGCATAAAAATTGTTTAATTAACACTCTTTATAACAAATATCGAACTATCCTCAAAAAGGTTTTATATACATATATAAGGGATACTAAGAACTTTTTTATTCACCCTATTAATTAGAGAGTTAAAATAAAGCCCTTTAGACTTGTTTTAACTTAAGATGTTCCATTTAAGAACAGGTTACTTCAAGAATGTCATGTGGAAATGAGTTTGACTTCGGTTCTATTGATCATTCATTTTGTTTTTTTTTTGTTAGCACATACACTAAAACACGATGGAGACGTCTTATAATAAATATTAGTATAATAAAGCTAAAGTGTTATTTCTTACGTAAGTGTATATATTATTATTATAAGCATAAATTCATAATTCAGCGATGTTGCGTGATGAGTGATGAGACGCGCGTGTACCGAAGTATATTCAACGCGCTATTATATGCATTTCGAGGCACAAACGTTGAATTTACTCTTCCGTCTAGTTACCTAGATCGCAAGTTGAAAATCGTGAAAAATAGAGATAAAGCTCTTTAGAATATGTGCGATAGATCATTGGATCGGAAATGACGTCTTGATGCATTTAAATCATTTTTCAGCATGTAAAAATTGCAAAAGCAAATAAAGATGAAAAAAGGTATTTAGTTTTTCGCTAATAATTCAAAAACGATTAATAATTAAGAAATTTAAAGAAAAGATCCTTAAAGAGGAGGAAATTTTCAATATAAGAGTCCCAGAACTCTCTCTGCCTTTATATATAATTAGTACCTGGGCCACTGAGCTTCGCTCAGTTTTTGGTCAACAGTACAATTTTCTATTTTTAAAAACCAAAAAACTTGAATAAATACAACAAAAAATGTTTACCTTTGTATCCGACCAGGATTCGAACCCGGACACTTATTTAATCTTGCGCCTTGGCCACTTGGCCATGATGATTATGCCCAAGCGTGCAAAATTATCGAACATAATATTTTGCATGGAATATACAAGAATTGCTCGTTTAAATATATTAGATATATAATTTTAATTTAATTTAACGCTGAAAATAGGGCTCCAAGCGGCCGACGATTTGTAGGCGCGCCGCCTCTCAAGCGAAATAGTTTTTTTTCAGTATCAAATATCAATTTAAAAATTTGAATAAATTATGGTGTATTGTTAACAGGGCTCGGATACCGGTATATTTTTCGAAATGGTTTCGTCTTAAATACCTAAAAAACGTTGTATTGGTTTCGTTTGAACAGAACGCTATATAAAACGTTTTTGAGCAGGAACAAAATTTAAATCGTTTTCGGTTAATAAAACGTTTTTAACCGTTATTTTTCTTATTTTTCTGGGATATCCAGTACAAACTTACGAATAGTTTCATTCACTAGGTGAGCGTGGCTTAGTTTAGTTGTTGCACGTTGAGCGCGGTCGCGTCCTGCGGATTTAACCGGTTTTTGAAAACGTTCTCGTTTCGTTTTCGTTCCGAACAAAAAGATTTACATAATAGTTCAAAAAAACTGTTAGGAACATTTAAAAAACGATATTTTAAGTAACGTTTCCGAGCCCTGATTGTAAATACTTAAAAGAATTTAGTCCCATTGAAAAAACGTTTTTTAGTTAATTTTTTTGAAAAGTTAATTAACAAAATTTTGTTGGAACTTCGTTGTTGAAGACAGCAATGAGATGTTTAAATATTTGGGCTATACATTTTTCGCTATTTGAAGCCCTTCTTTTATATAGTATACAGTTGGTCTACAGACCCCAACGGATTTTTTATGATTAATAAGAACTTCGTGAGTAGCTTCATTTTGGCGAGACGCCCAACTATTCTTTCTACGAGAATTTGATAGTGGTGGAAACAATTGTGGCGTCATACGGAATGGTGGTAGTCTAAAATTTATTACTAACAGGTTGTTTTACCATTTAATTTTGAGGTTATCCAACATAAAACAAGAAAAAAATAATGTTGTGCTAAAAAACTGATGGTTGGATCAAATAGTTGAGGGCGCCCTACATCCATACTATATTATAAATGTGAGTGTGTTTGTTTGTCCTTGTGACGGACTTGTGATTGACGGATTGGCGTGATTTTTTGTGTGAAGATAGTTGGAGGGCTGAAGAGTGACATAGGCTACTTTTAACCGCGGGAGATCACCTAATTCCCACGAGAAAACAGGTTATAATACAATTCAAAAAAATTATTACGATCAGAATTACTTGAAATTTGGTATTGGCTCTTCAATAAAATTAAATAAATACGTGTTTAAGCATCTTTTCAAAATTTTTGCTATAAGGGGGTAAAATAGGGGATGAAACTACCTTTTTAGAGATTTTTTTGTAGTTTTAGCGCGAACAAAGCCGCGGGTTCTGCTAGTATTATATAATAAGCGCTCCTTGAGGTACGTTGTATGTTGCAAGAAACGTTGCGGGTGCGGCCTGTGGATTTCCTTCGATGAGTTTCATTACGTGCAATGTACACAAGTATCAGCTAATG